AGACAGTGGCACCTGAAGTGCGTTGCTTATGTCCATTCTACTCCATAATCTCGTTTTGGTTGCTGTCACTGCAGATAATCCTGCTTCACAAAGATAGGATGTTAGAACATGAAGCAGACTTTTTGGTGTTCTGTGGCAATCTCAGGATGTTCTGCCTTGACTTTAATCCATAATGTATGGAGATTTGAAGTTGTCTCAGACATACTTTTAGGGCCACCGTCATTTGCATTCTTGAGCCGTTGATCCTCTTCTAGCATGGACAAAGTCGATTCATCTGGCTCATTCACAAATGGGTTGTGGATCTATTCCATCCCAGTTCCGGGGTCCTTTATGTCTGGGAAGTAATGCTCAAACTCTTGAAAGCTGCGATAGGTGATCATGCACCAGCTGGGAGAAAGAAGGCCCTGGCTCAGTCTCTTTCAAAATCTCTGCTAATGTTTGAAACATGTCAAAAATCCCGATGTTCCCTGGTCGCCCCCATAATTCCAGTTTGGCTTTGCATGCAGCCATTTTATCTGTTGACATGAAGTGACAGATTGAATTGGTTAAATGGTTAATTGGTTGAATATGTCACACAAGTAAGCAAGCTTTGTGACCCATTCTGTGTCACTGAAATGTGCTGCCAGTGGTGACTGTTTTTCTAAAAGAAATCTCGAGTAGCTCTTGTAACTCAAAAACTGCCAGTGGTGACTGTTTTTCTAAAAGAAATCTTGAGTAGCTCTTGTAACTCAAAACCCATGGCCAGTGATCTACCTTTAGAAAGCCATCTTACTTCTGTGTCTAAGAGAAGATGTGTGTGCTCTACGTCCGTCTCCTTACAGAACTGAGTGAACAGACATGAGTTAAGGGCATGTACTTTAATATGGTTGATCATTTTAACCACATCCTGCAAAAAGTTAAGTTCAGGTGATGTTTTTCCTCTTGTAACTCAAAACCCATGGCCAGTGATCTACCTTTAGAAAGCCATCTTACTTCTGTGTCTAAGAGAAGATGTGTGTGCTCTACGTCCGTCTCCTTACAGAACTGAGTGAACAGACATGAGTTAAGGGCATGTACTTTAATATGGTTGATCATTTTAACCACATCCTGCAAAAAGTTAAGTTCAGGTGACATTTTTCAGCTAGCCAGCATTTCTCTATGGTTGACACAGTGCGTAGATTCACATCAGAATTGATCTCTTTGACCCGAGTAGTGAAACTAGAAAGCTGTCCAATCATGGCAACTGCTCTGTTCATGCATATACTGACACAAAATGACCAATTCTGTTTTCCTGATATGTAATCATTCAAGACTTGAATAGTTCTACAGCTGTGGTATCGGTTGGCAACAAAACTGCACATAACATGTCCTCATGCACATCCTCTTGAAAAATAGTTTGCACAAATACAAGCATTATTGCCTTGTTGTCAACATCGGTAGACACATCAACCTGGATTGCGTACCACAGTGACATTAATCCTCTCTAACAATTGTGTCTCAGTATCCTCTGCTATGTCATCGATTCTTCCAGTTATGGTGCTGGCCGAAAGGAATGCAGGCCACCGTTTGAACTGCAGCCTCTCCTAAAAGTTCTTGATCAATGTCCTTAGCAGCAGGTAGGTCAACATCGGTAGACTCATCAACCTGGATTGCATAGCACAATGACATTAATCCTCTCTAACAATTGTGTCTCAGTATCCTCTGCTATGTCATCGATTCTTCCAGTTATGGTGCTGGCCGAAAGGAATGCAGGCCACCGTTTGAACTGCAGCCTCTCCTAAAAGTTCTTGATCAATGTCCTTAGCAGCAGGTAGGATCAACTCTTCACCAATTGTAAAAGGCTTTATAGCTTTAGCAATGCAGTTAGCCACTAAGAACGATGCTCTCAGTGCAGACACATTTAATGAAGTGGTGGCCTTCAATAATGGCGTCTGTTCTTCATGTTTTTGTTTTTTTCCTTTTGAAAAAACTCCAAAAGCTTATCTTTTAATGCAGGGTACTTGGTCTCCATGTGGCGAAGCAGTTTTGAAGATTTCATAGCTTCGTTGAATAGCCGGTCACCACATATTATACAATGTAGGCTTGGTGAATGTGAATCACCTGCTATAATGAACCCGTAATTTATGTAGGACTCTTGGTATTTTCTTTTAAATACAGCTTTCTTTTTTTGGCAGTCTTAGAGTCTTCTGCTGTCTCATCATTGGGTTTTTCCCCCTTTTCAAAGAAGCGCTACAGTGACTTTTTTTTTTTTTTACTCATTTTGGCTAGGGTTAGCTTGTAGACTTACCAAACCTGTGACCGAGACAAATGGGCAGTGCAGGAAAGAGGCAAAAATGGAAGTGGTAAATCAAATAATGGGCAGACCACACGCAGACTAAAATAAGTGTGAGATTCTGACTTAAAGCCTGCCACCAGGTGCAGCTTAATTGTCATTTGCCACTCACTGATAGGGTTTTGATATGAGTCTGCAAGCAATTGATTTATTATGGTCTCTGTGCAGTCACACGTCTCTGCTAATGTCAATCTGTATTTGCAGCCGCTCCCAGCGCCAGCATCACTGCCTCAGCTCCACCTCAGATCCTCAGGCATTAGATTCTCATAAGGAGCTTACAACCTAGATCACTCACATGTGCATTTCACAGTAGGGTTTGTGCTCCTATGAGAATCTAATGCCTGAGGATCTGAGGTGGAGCTGAGGCGGTGATGCTGGCGCTGGGGAGCAGCTGCAAGTACAGATGAAGCTTCGCTTACTTGCCCACCCTGCTCGCCTCCTGCTGTGCAGCCCAGTTCCTAACAGGCCACGGGTACCCCAACTGGTACCTCTGCCCAAGAGTGATACACACTTTGTGATGCTGGGTATGTGAGCTCAAACAAAACCTATGATGAAAGTCTTTCTCTCTATCACAATCAAGTCGGCATCTTATTTTTATGTGTTGTAGTGATGGGTTGTAAACTTCCAAAATGTTGATTCTTTTTTCTGTGGAATTGTATAACACCTGAATGAACAGATTGTTAATGGAGGTGGAAAAATTCCCAAACTCCCATTGCACCTAATTATGTTGAGGTGACTTAGTGTAAGTTTTTCTTACTGGTTTATTTTCACAGCCAGTGTGCACTTAAAATCATCTGCAAATTGTTAAAAAAAAAATTCACTAGATATTTGGCTTCTCTCTTCCTTTTCCAGTCAAATGACCTGATACCCACCAGACGGGATAACTGAAAGGTATAAAACACAACACCGAGGCTCAAATTAATCATTTTTAAAGAGAGTGTTAGATTTAGAAAGCATTTGATTAGACAGTTATAGTATGCAAAGCACCATGCTATGCATAATGAGAAAATATGAAGAGTATTGTGAAATTTTGCCCATTAAGAGCAAACATTAATTTTAATAATTGTTTTGATATAGGACTCAGCAAATCTTTTCTATAAAAGATCATATAGTAAATACCTTAAGCTTTGCAGGCCACATGTAGTCTAACCTCTGTTGTTGTAGCAGGGAAGCAGCCATAGACAACATGTGAATGAATGTGGAAAAAGACAGGGAGAGATTGCAGTTGTGGAGGAGTCCCTGTGTTCCATGGGCAGGGTGGTGACCGTGCCACTTGAAGGGGAGCAGTGGAGTGTGTATATCTACTCAGAAAAGTGGAGAGAAAGGTCCTTTCTTGACACCAGAAGGGAGAGGGTGTGTGGTGACTGATAGAGAATCAACTGGAGGTTACATGAGGATTCTGGAGGGGCCCTGAGGTCTCAGCTGAGGTGTTAGCTTAACTGTTGGGTACCTACCATGAAGCCTGTTTGGAAGAAAGTAAGATCAATTATGAATCAGTGGATGTGGGATAGAAACATTCTATATTGTTGAGTTACTCCTGATCATTCTTAGCAGCCTAAAGGTGGAGAGAATGGAGGCCAGACGACCAGTGGCATGAAGGAAAGGAACAGCACCGTCTCCCATGTTATCTTGCTTCAGGTGCAGTTATTGAGGAGATTGCAGTCCAGAAAATTGAGATGACTTGCCCAGCATTCTATGCTTACGTAATATACCAGGTAATAATGAGCTCCTTTCTCATCATATATTCTGACTTAGAAGAAGCTCATATTCTGGGTCTCTATTATGGATCACCAATCATTTAATGGACGAGGTTGCCAGCCTGGGTGGAAAAGGAATGGCCTTTTAGGATTATTTAGACCAGGGTTTTGAAAACTTATATTTATTTATTTTCAACAGAAGATTCTTCTGCTTAACAGAAGCAGTTGAAAATGGTGCTTTTCTAGGTGACGAAATGGGACTTAGTCTGGCTGCTCCAACCCCTGCTATGATTTTAGGGGAATAGTTTGAAAAATAATGACCTAGTCTACCCATGCTCTCATTTTGCAAGTGGGGAAACTCAGCAACGGAAGTCAAAATGGGTTAATTTTGGCTTCGGGGTTCTTATCGTCACCCCATATTGGATCCCTGAGAGCAGTGTGGCATTTGGCACTGACCTGTTTGTTTAGCAGTCTACTTAATAACTTCTTTATGGTTATGTCTGTCCCTATAACAGGAGCCTGTCACTGACACTCAGTCTCTTTGGGATTTTGAGGAAACCATGACTTACTAGAAAGTGATTTGAAATGTTTGGATACAAAAAGCAGGAAATTGAGTTTTTAAAAAAATCTCTTTTCCTGAGCAGACATTATTTTAAAAATGTACAGTATGTGTGGCATACATTACCCATGGGAAAAAAGACGTTCATTATTGGGAATTTAATTTTCATTAGCCTAGCACACATTTGCGTTTGATGGAATTAAGCCATTTGTATAGAGATTTGGTAATTTCTGTTACTACCAGTGTAGTCTTCAAGTTGGATTTTTATCTTGAAACAGGGCATGGAATAGTGTGTGAGATGAGGAGGAAAGCCATAGCTACATACAAGAAAGATTATTCAAATATGCATATCAACTGCTGAGCAAGACTTTATACATTGAGCTATGTTTTCTAAGGACTTATTTTAAAATCTGAAAACTTGTTTAATCTCTAGGGCTTTCGGTGCTGCCATCATCGTGGAGGTGACAGTGACAGACGAGTTCAAATTTTGACAGATGTGAGTGGACATCAAAAGTACTTCAGTTCACCATGTGGTTATTGAGCACCTGCTTATGTGCCCTGATTTTATGAATTTTCAGTTTGTCACATACATCTGGTGAGATACCAGATACTGTGGAGGTAGCCATAGTTAAAGTAAGGGCAATCCACAAAAACAGGAGTATAGTGATGAGTGCTCCTGTGACTTGGAAATGTGTAGACTGGGAGGTTGTAATATAGATCTATTGACATTTGAAACATCAGTGTGAAAAGAAATCAGTGTGGTTCGGAGGTGAGTAAATAGAAGTAGTAGATTAAATTATGAAGAAAAAGTTTTTAATTATATGCTTCAAGTATGCAACATTATAATTTGACATCTGTGTGCATTACAAAGTGATCACCCCCCAAAAAATGTCTAGTTACTATACATTACCATACTATTGATCCCTTTCACCCCTTTTACGCCGCCCACCCCGGCCTCCTTTCTCTCTGGTGACCACTGATCTATTTTCTGTATCTATGAATTTGTTTTCATTTTATTTTGTTTGTTTTTTTTTATAGATTCTACATATAAGTGAAATCATGCAGTATTTGTCTTTCTCCTTCTGATTTATTTCACTTAGTGTTATGCCTTGAGGGTCCATCCATGTTGTTGCACTGACAGGATTTCATTCTTTTTTATGGCCGAGTAGTAGTCCATTGTATATAAATGCCTCATCTTTATCCATTCATCCATTGATTGGCACTCGCATTGCTTCCATATCTTAGATATTGTAAGTAATGCTGCAATGAACATAGGGGTGCGTATATCTTATTGAATTAGTGTTCTCTTATTCTTTAAATAGATAACCAGAGGTGAAATAGCTGGGTTACATGGTAGTTTTAATTTTTTGAGGAATCTCCATACAGTATTTGATAGTGGCTGCACAAATTTATATTCATACCAGCAATATATGAGGGTTCCCTTTCTCCACATCCCCGCCAACACTTATTTCTTGTCTTTTTGATAATAGCCACTGTCACAGGTATGAGGTGATAGCACATTGTGGTTTTTGATTTGCATTTCTCTGATGATTAGTGATGTAGAATATCTTTTCATGTGCTTTTTGGTAATCTGTGTGTCTTCTTTGGAGAAAATGTCTATTCAGAATCTCTGCTCATTTTTTAATTGGGCTGTTTTTTTGGTTATTGTTACATTGTATGATTTCTTCATATGTTTTTGGATATTAACTCCTTATCAGATGTATGATTTGGAAATATTTCTCCTATTCAGTAGGTTGCCTTTTTCTTTTGATTATGGTTTCCTTCACTGTGCAAAAGCTTTTTAGTTTGTTCTAGTCCCATTTATTTATTTTCGCTTTTGTTTCCCTTGTCTTTGGGGTCACATCCACTTAAACATCGGTAAGACCAATGTCAAGAAGCTTACTGTCTATGTTTTTTTCTTAGAATTTTTTGCTTTCAGGTCTTAAGTTCAAATCTTTAATCCATTTTGAGTTAATTTTTTATGTATGGTGTCAGATAGCAGTCTAGTTTCATTCTTTTGCAGGTGGCTTTCCAGTTTTCCCAACACCATTTATTGAAGAGACTGTCCTTTTTCCATTGTATGTTCTTGGCTCCTTTGTTGTAAATCGATGGTGCATGTATGTGTAGGTTTATTTCTGGGCTCCTAATTCTGCTCCATTGATCTGGGGAAAACTTCTTAATATTTATGGCAATTGGATTTTGGATCCTAAGGGAAATCCTAGAGGTCTCACATTTTAAAAGAACTGGAATCACATTAAAGAATTTGTTCTCCCTAGGAAGATGAGCTGATGGAGTAAAAAACAAAATTACATTCCTGGTTATTTCACCTATGTTTATTCTTTTAGCAGTTTTATTGAGATAGAATTCACATACCATATAATTCACACATTCAAAGTGTAGAACTAAATGTTTTTTAGTATATTCACAGATGATGTACAACCGTCACCATAGTCAATATGAGAACATCTTCGTCACCTCAAAAAGAGTATACCCTTTACCATCACTCCTCCTCATACCCCACTTTCCACCTCCAGCCCTAGGCAACCACTAATCTACTTTCTGCCTCCTTTAGATTTCCCTATTCTGGGCTTTTATATAGTATGTGGCCTTTTTTGACTGGCTTCTTTCACTCAACATAATATTTTCAAGGTTCACCCATTGTAGCATGAATTAGTATGTCACTCACTTTCATGGTTGACTAACATTCCATTGTATGTATCTACCACATTTTGTTTATCTGTTCATCCACTGGCGAACATTTGGTTTGTTTCTACCTCTCCATTTACTTGTAATGATTGTGTAGAAAGATAAATATACACTATACATTTTGAGACCCAAATCATTCTTTTTCTCACATGAGAACTAGCTGGCCATTAAAGGGAAAATATTGGTATGACGCTCAGTGCCTTATAAAGAACACTTCCTACACAGTATTTCATTAACTCCCCCACCTAACCTTGGGTGAAACTAAAGGGTCGGCAGATTACAGGACTTTCCCAAGGTCTCCTGGCCAGTGAGTGATGATGGCAGTTTAGAGTCCAGATGTCATGCTCCTACTTGTGCACCCACACGAGTTTAGAATGATTCCTAAAATAAGCTCTGAAAATTTTAGAACAGTTTGTTCAGCCTGTGTATCTATACAGTATGCCAAATCTCCATGTCAGGATATTCTAATAAAAATTCCCCAGGACACCAGATTCATGGACAGTTGCTGTTGATAAACTGTCTGCGAATTTCTTCACACTTGCCAGTACTCAGAGCATCCCTAAGTGTGGCTCAAGTGCTTTTATCACAGAGAACTTTTGAGTACTTAGCATCAGTCACTTGCAAAGCACAGGCGGATATCTAAAACTGGAAATGCCGGTTCTTGTACTTCTCACGTCCAGGAAGACTTTCTAAAGCTCAGGCTCTGATCTCTCTTAGATGCGCCCCTTCCACACTCCTGGAATACCCCCTGCTCCCCAGCCACCTAGGCGGATGTACTCTCCTCCAGCCCATGTGTGTGCTCTTGGTGAGCTGGCACTATACCCTGCCATCCCCTCTTGGTTTGTGAGGGGCAGGCGCATTTGTTTCCTGGTGGTCTAATCCACCAGTGATTGTCCTTTGATTGAGCTGTCAGCTGGCTGATGGCAACCATGTCACAGCTTCTTGTAACGGCAGAGCTCACTGACATGCTTGGTTCTGTGCAAGTCTGAGGAAGAGGGGATTTGCTTTAGCAGCTCGTGAAGGACCCCAATTTAAAGTTGTGAAGTGTCCACTCAGCAGAGGTGAGGCAGTGCCTGTGCACACAAGTGTGTGCTGTGCATCTTTCACATGTACGGAAACGGAGGTGGGCTTGATAATTGCTGGAGTTTAGGTGTCATCAGGGCAGGTGATGTGCTTCCTTCTCTCCACCCCAAAGACTGCCTGGCACGCAAGGGATACTTCCCAATATTGAGTGCTCAAGCTCTGCCTGGAATGTAGCAGTCAAGGCAGTGAGAGGAGACACTCACAGGGCTCTAGATGCTAAACAGAGAATGCCTAGCTTATTACATACTCATTTTTTAAAAAAATGCTAGTTGGAAAAGAAAAAGAGTAAAAGTCTAAGAGAGTGAAAAAGAAGAGGAACCTGTGGAATGAGAAGGGCTAGTCTTAGGGATTGTTGCCCACAGATTTGAAGACACAGCTTTTTAGAAATAGGGTGAAATAAAAATGAAAAAGTTAGATAATTTTTAAAAGGAACCTTAATATTTTTGGCAGAGGATCTGAACAGACACTTCTCCCAAGAAGACATATGCATGGCCAACAGACATATGAAAAGATGCTCAACTTCACTAGCTATCAGGGAAATGCAAATCAAAAGCACTATGAGATACCACTTCACACCTGTTAGAATGGCTATAATTAACAGGACAAGTAATAACAAGTGTTGGAGAAGTTGTGGGGAAAAAGAATCCTCAAACATTGCTGGTGGGAATGTAAACTGGTACAGCCACCATGGGAAACAGTATAGAGGTTCCTCAAAAAACTAAGAATAGAATTACCATATGACCCAGCAATCCCTCTTCTGGGTATTACCCAAAAAACTTGAAAAATTTATTCTCCAAGATATATGCACCCCAGTGTTCATAGCAGCATTATTCATGGCGGCCATGACATGGAATCAACCAAAGTGTTCTTTGATAGATGATTGGATAAAGAAGCTGTGGTACATATATACAATGGAATACTACTCGGCCGTAAGAAAAGATGAAATACTGCCATTTGCGACAACATAGCTGGATCTTGAGATTATCATGCTAAGCAAAATAAGTCAGACAGAAAATGTTGAGAACCATACCATTTGACTCATATGTGGGATACAAAACTGAAAGCAACAAACAAACATGACAAACAGAGAGAGACTCATGGACACGGACAACAGTTGAGTGGTTACCAGAGGGAAATGGGGGATGGGAAAGTAGATAGGAGTAAAGGGGGTCAAATATTTGGTGACAGAAGGAAATTTAACTTTGAGTGGTGAACACGCAATGCAGTATACATATGACATATTATTATTTGTACACTTGAAACCTATTTGATTTTATTACCCAATGTCAGTCCAATAACTTTAATAAAAATGGGACCCTAATATTTTGTCTCCTTGACCGAAAAAGAAAGCACTTTACAAATCTATTTGCAGCTGGCAGATGGTTAAAAAGAGACATATTTTGTTCTCTCTGAAGTGAGGAAGCTCATTGGAGACAGGAATGCGTAATTAACTGATATCGTCACGTGCCCACTCCCATTCTTAGGAAGCAAGCGAAAAGGAAATGAGAGCGTCTTTAAGCTGGGGTCCTGTGGCAGGCAGCGGACTGGGCATAGGGGGAGGGTGTCTTCCAGTGCTCAGGGAGGGAGGGATGTCAGCGAGGAGGAGACAGAGGGGCCAGTCAGAGCTTCCCTGACCCCTGTCCAGAGTGGCCCCGGCCCTGCAGACAGTAGTGTTAGCTGTTCATCGCGAGTGTCCAGCCATCGGGC